CGAGACGCTGAAGAGCGAGCGCATCATCCTGGATCACTTCTCCTCTCTCCAAGGACCTCCGACGGAAGGACGAGCTGACGGGAGCGTCGCTCGTTGGTGGTCCAGCGCGCGGAGGAGTCGGGGCTTGTGGTGGAGCACTTGCCGGGTGTCTCTTCTGGGCAAGACTCCACAAAAAAGCACGCGAGAGGCGGCTGGGTGTTTCCCGCAGGTTGAGGAGTGGGGGTGTGGAGAGGTGTTTCTTTCCCCAAGAACAGAGCTGGGGTGGAAGAGGAGGAGGGAGAAGGGGAGGGCGACTCCGGGCGAGAACAGGTGGCTGGCTGGCCCGGGCGGGGAAAGGGCGCGCTGGCAAGGGAGCCGGGAGCCTCGAGGCCAATTGTGGGAGGGGTGCCTAGTTCGGAGCTGGCCCCAGAGGGACTGCGGAGCGCGAGGCCTTGGGGGCGACGTCTGCCACGCTCTCCAGGCAACATAGGCTGGTGGTGTGGCCTTTGCGGTGCGGGTGCGAGCCCCCGCGGGCTTGGGCGCACTCACGCACGCATACGGCCAAAAGCGCCGTGGAGAGACTACCCCTGACGCCTGAGCCTGGGAGGCATGGCGCAAGAAGCGGGGAAGACACGCAAGATAGTGCGGCGCGGGGAACAGCAGCACGGAGGAGATGTCGTCTTATCGTGTACGGAGCAGATGAGGGGAGAGCGCGCACGCAGTCCCCCACTAGCAGAAATTGTGCAGTCGAGTCTCCCACATGTGGGGAAATCGCAGGGGTCAGCACGGCCCGAGTGCAATGGCAGAGCCTCGCCCTGGGAGAACCACCTTCCTGATCGTGGTGTCTCCCCTGCCAGGTAAGTATGAGCGGCCCTCCTGCAAGCATCGTGCAGCCTCCCGTCCCTCCACCGTTCACTAAGGGTCACCGCCGTCCCCCACCCGGCCCTCGCCTCATCTCCAAACCGCACTCGGCAAAACAATGTAAGCCAAGCCACCAAATCCCCAAGCTCCCACGCATGCACACGGGAGACCCCGGGTCGGCCTCCCTCGCCCCTCCCCCCCGACAGATCGCCGTGCATCAGCGGCTGCAGACCCAGCGACCGGCAGCCACTGCGCTGTGTCATCTGCATACTCCCCCGGCGGCCTCTGTGGGCTGGGTCCCCGTCACCTCCTCCGGTTCTCGCTCGCTCTCCTCTTGGCCCAGGGAACACCACGTTTATCCCAACAGGTCTTCGGACCGACCGTCCAAAGGACAAGGGGAAACGTGCCCGGAGCCTGGAAGAGTCTCGACGGTTTAAAGGCAACAGCCGTTGTCGCCGTGGTGGGATTTGACCGTGATACCGTTGCTTGGACATTCTGGTGTTGATTCCTACTCCTCCCTTCCGCTAGTGGCAGCGGTCAGCGCTTCCCATTTTGCGCCTACTTCACCTGCTGCTGCCTTTGTTGGGTCCGTTCACGTCACGTCCCTACACCGTTTAGTCGACGGACGGGACAGCCCTGGAGGGCTTGACCCAGCACTCGCCTTCCTGTCAACCCTGGCGGGGGTCGCCCTCGGACACCTCTTCCGAAGGCCGAGTGAGCACTCACGTGCGGACGGAGCTGAGGAGCCCCAGCCGCCAGGCCCGTGTCCAGGGGCGCGCACTCATCCCGCCACCGGGTGCGGCTCAGCCTGCTCGGCGCCCTGGAGCGCGGGCTTGGGTGCAACCCACCTTGATGTGACCTCCGCGCGGCCGTGTAAACCTGAGCGAGAGAGCCACCGAGGAGCCGTCCGAAGCCCTTCGTGCGGGCGGCTGACATGCAGAAAACCTGCGGGACTGAAGGCTCGGTGCGGGTAGCACACGCCACACGCCTCTACGGGGGATGTAGAAGACAGATTCTGGCCGGGTGACAGATGCCAGTCGGCGCAAAAAGTTTCCCTGACCGGGAATCGAACCCGGGCCGCGGCGGTGAAAGCGCCGAATCCTAGCCACTAGACCACCAGGGAGCCGCGAGGCGACATCCTCGCTCCTTCCTTCCCCGCGGAGTGACATTTCCCAGCGCTCTGGCAAGCTCTGGGTCTTGGGTGAGGTTGGGTGGCGCCCGTCGTGCAGGAGTCCTTTCCTAAGACCAAGTTCTCTCCCTGCCTTCTCCACCGAAGGAGCCCGCAGACAACCCACCGAGCGCCCCGAGGCCTCCAGGTGCACGCGTCCTGGAACGAGTTGTCCCGTCCCGGCTGCCCCTCAGAACCGGCCCGGAGACGCGCTTTTGCGAGGTGGCCGCGCGTGGAGAGAAGGTCGCCGGGGCCGGGGCGGTGGACCGGGTGGCTCGGAGGAGGCGAGACGGGAGGCGCCCAGGGTGAGACCCCGGGATTCTCCAGCCTCCGAGAAGACTCCGAGGGGCTGCGCGGACCGAGATGGCGGGGACGGAACACGCTTTCCAGCGAGGCTCCGCCATCCTGACCTGGACGCCGGCTCTCGCCCCCGACAACCCGCCACACCCGCACTTTTCCCATCTTAGTTGATGGAAACTCCAACGCTGGGGTTTCCGCACATCCAATGAGTCTAATTTGCGTGTTCACTCGTCTGTCGGGCGCAGACGGTCAGGTGCAGCCGGAGCAAACGGGAAGAGCCATCCCTGGGAGGCCGCCGGTAGTTCGGCCTCCCTTGGGCCCCACTCGGCTCAGGCCCTGGGGGTCGAGGCCCGGGGCGTCTCCGGGGCGTCTCTGGGGCGCTGGCATCCGAGGCGGGAGTGGAGCAAGGCGGGGCGAGGCCGTTCAGCTGCCCCTCTGCCTTCGGAATCGCCCGACGCACGGGTTTCAAACGCGAGCGACGGGCTGCGTGGACTCCAGGTCTTGGGTGTTGGGAGGCGTT